CTTGAACCTTCATGTAAGTGGGCTGATTTATTGGGCCCAATATTTCAAGCAGATTAGTGGACCAGCAAATGTCGCTTGGGCTCAAATTTCAGCATACCCAATCTTTACAAGACCAAATCAAATTCAATGACTCGTTGAAGTTGGCCTTGCAATTCGGCTTCTTCACACTATAATCTTCATATTTTCTATCACTAGTAACAAAACTCGTTATGGCGACTTTATAATCTGTAATAACAGCTGAAGACCCTCTTCGCCGCAACTCTACCTCGATATCATTAATCGATACGTCTCAATCACCATAACTCTATCTTTATTTTATTCAATCATTATCATAGCTGCAACTTGGTGCTAGTTCACCGCCATCCTCATACTTTGAACCTGCCATTATCTTTAGTGCAATCTCAGAGTTTAAATTATGAACTCTGATACCTCTAGTTGAGAGAAAAATTCACCAAATTCAGTGAAAAAGAAAAATTCAAATACAAGCCAATTACAGTAAAAAAAAAAAAAATATTTTAATATGGTTCAATAAATCGCTACGATCAAAGGAGAAGAAGATTTTAATAGTCGAGAATACTCCTACATTATGATGTTTTCTTGACTCGTGTTTTTCCTTGCACAAAACTAGAATACTCCATTGTACGCTACACACCTATGCATACCTATATTCTAATTTCTCAGTGCAATTTTTTTTACTAATACATTCAAATTTATTGTGACTTTGCCCCTGTTCGGTAGAGGTTTAAAAATCAGATTTTTAATATATTTTTATAAAAGTTAAAAAGTTAAGGATTCTATGAAATATATTATTAAAATTAGTTGTCAAATATGATTTAAATTAAAATTTAGATTTCAATCGATACCAAACATGACTCAACCCAAAAATAAAATAAAAAATAAAATTCAAAAGTTGGGGGTTATGTGACCCCTAGGGTCCCCCCATGAATCAAACTTACTCTTAGAGAGTATATTCAATTAAGACTTTTAAGGAATTAAAAAGTTAAAAGATTTTCAATGTGGACTTTATCAAATTCTCTAAAAGCCTTGATATATTAAATACAGACTTTTATAAAGTTGTAAAATGTCTTTAAAAATTTTGGTATACTGAATTAATTTTTTTTAATAATCTCTAAAAATCTTATAATATTCAAAATGTTAATGATTTTTAAAGACTTTTATAAAGTCTTCGGAATACTAATTTTAAAGCAGAAAGTACAAAATCAAAATTTCAAAATAAGACAAAAGAATTTTTTAATATATTTTCTATCCTTTAAATTTTTCCCTTTCTTCTTAAGTCAACAAACCTTACGATTATGATTAAAATTTTATTATTTTTTTCTTTTACCTATTATATTTGTTCTCTTTCCATTTTTCTCTCTCTTTTTTGTTGCTTCTCTTCATCCCCTGCCAAAAAACAAAAACAAAAAAAGTAATTTTGGTAACATATATTTTTCATCCAATCTTTTACGTAATAAAATTTTATGAGATGTTATATAAACTTTTTTTTTATATTTTTATTATTGTTAATTTAATTAACGTGACTTAATTTTTTTTCTTTTAAAAATATTTTTTATTATATGAGTGAATGGTTGGAGATCAATCCTCGACCTTTTATATGGGAATTCAAGTAATTTCTATCTTAATAAAAAAATTTGAAAGTAATATGAATTCTACAAAAGTCAATCAAAGTTTTAAAATAAAAGTATGTAGAAATTTCACTAATTTCATACAAATCTATAAAAGTTCACGAAATCCACAAAAGTCATCACTTAAAAATATAAAGATCTTTAAAGTCTCTATTGAATCTACCCTTGTAGTTTTCTAGCTCTTCTTGAAGTTGCAGTTTGGACCCAAACTTTCTTATAAATTTAATTGAAGGCCAATTTGGTTTCCTTGTCCCATTTTTATGATGACTCATCATTTCCTCGATCAAAAATATAATCTTTAAACAATGTACATCCACACTATATATATATATATATATATATATATATATATATATATATATATATATATTGATCCCCATTACATATAATTACATCAGTATTCTTATAATTCAATAATTAATTCTATAAAACAAAAATTATAAGATGGGACTCCATAAATAAAAAAATCCCTATAATCATCACCACCCTCAATATGACATAAATGCCATGGTGACCCTACACAATCCATCAAAAAATGGGCAAAAATAAAAAAAAAAATTAATAATAATAATAATAATAAACTTCATTCAAAGTCTCCGAGAAAAAAAAGTAATATGGAAATATAATAATAATACTTTGCCAAGAGATGTAGTTCATACGAAATAACTGATACTTTGCATTTCAAGAATTCGACGACTTTTAAAATCTTTTCCTCACCAGCAAATTGTAAATTCACTATCATTTCATTTTAATATTTGAGAAAGTGATAGTGCAGACGGTTTCGAAATAAAAAAAAATAAAAATGTAAGCCTTAAAACGTAACAAATAGACCTCGTGGCTAAAAAGATCAAAATCAAAGACCTTTCCATTGTAGACGATTGTCGTTTTGACAATTTTAATTGAAAAAATAGTCATCGATAAGTTTAATTCATGGAAATCAAGAACATAAAAGGTAATCCCCACAAAACTCAAACAATTCGAAATGAAATTTCTTACTTATACTACTTGAAATCAAATTAAAGGCGCAATATCAAATAACTCAAACAAAAATTAATCGAGAATCCTTCACATATTAAATTCATCAAACCTACAATAAAAGGTATTTCTTAGTTTTCCTAATCTCACTTTCAGTAATTGCACGAAACTTATCTCAAGGAGATATTTTAATATTTACGTTTTAATCCCTTAAAAACTGAAAGGAGCAAATGATCCAAACTCGACATTTTTGCAAATAATAGATTCCAATCATAATTACTTACTTTCTATGTATTTTTTCTCAGTTTCGGAATATTTTCACTAATTTCACTTTAACCCTTGGATTATCTCGATCTACTGTGTGCGTTCTTTGAGCCCCTAAATTCTGAATACTTCTTAAATGAGACAGATGCCCAATTTTCACAGTTTTTAGGCATTACTTTGGGGCCTTTGGGGGTTCGTTTTACTAGAAAATTATTAAACCGCGATAGCTAATTTGACAGGGTACAACATGAGCTAACTTCATGGTTCGAGACATGCAAGTCTCCTATGTGCGTCCTCACCCAAATGCATATTTAAATATAGTTCATACTTAACTAGTCAAAGTACTGTATAAGTCAAGAATGACTGACACGGCCTAATTTACACACTAGCACACCATTCTTATTGTCATCCTAGATTAGGGGTGTTAATTGGGTCGAGTAATTCAACTTCGCCCTCTATCCAGCTCAACGTAGCCTACCACATGAGCCAACTCATGCTTGCATATTGTACGAGTCGACCGCAAGCTGGTTGTTTCCAAAAACCTCACATTGGCTCACTCCACCAACCACCACAATGAGAGGGCGAGACAAGTAGTCTTGCAAGCCACTCACGCTGTGTATTTTTTTTTTTGGAAAAAGTGAGAATTTGCATTTTTTGAGAAATGGTGGGCATAAAAGTTCTATATTGTCAAAAAAGAAATATCAAAAAAATTATAAAGTTGTAAAAGCTTTCCTTGTTTGTCCGAGCTCCGGACCAACTACATGATATGTAGGCGAATGATGTCTCAAAATGAGAGGTTTAAAGAATTGGTGATGATAGCAGTAGTTGTGTGAAAATTGAAAGCAATGGCACTTCCCTTCTTACAGGCAAAATCTCACGGCAGAAACAAAAAATGAAATTTAAGGAAGGAAAAAATCGAATTTAAATTTTCAGGCAATCGAATGATTGTTTAAAAAAATTTCCTTATTTTTTAACTAACCATTCTCTGTTAATCAACCATTTCAAAATGCGTTTTAATCTAAAAATGATTTTTCTAATTGTACAACCCCGGTTGACAACATTCTTACAGGAGGGAGCTCACGATTTTTTTATTCATCATAGACCCCCCCTTCCATGTTAGTGGATGTCAACCGAGATTGTTCAACCTCGATTGTATATGTAGCACTTTCCATCTAAAAATGAGGCACTAAATTTACTTAGACGGCAGTAATGACAATTGCTAAAAAAAAATTTATGGCTCGTCACCCCTATTTTTAGCATCCTTGCTAATTGATTCCTCATGTGTACAAATAGCGGTTTTTAACTGATTTATTTGTAATTTTACGCCCCCAATGACTTGACATAATCGTTTCCCTTTGTATTTTACTGGGATAATTTAAATTCCTCGGCAACCAATTCTCTTCTCTATGATATTTTCCTACATTTTCCATGGCTTTTGCTTTCAATCACTGTATTGAAATCTCATGTATATCATTTAAGTATTATCTTTAGTACGTTCCCTCAAGTGGAGTTCATGCTTTTCCCATCAAAGCCTACACTTGCACAATATTATTAAATGTATAGTAACGAGACTTGAACTTTATATGCTACAATATCACGCTGAATTACTTTATCTAGAAACTTAAACCGTAAGAAAACTCGTGTATATCCTTTAAGTACTGTTTATCTCTGTGAATCTAGGTCCATCTAAAAACTTAAACGTGAGAAAAGTCACATTATATTCTTTAAATATTGTTTATCACTGTGAAGCGTGTTTCATCTAAAAACTTAAATGTGAGAAAAGTCGCATATTTGTCCTTTAAGTATTGTCTTCAACTCATAAACGTTAGTTTCTTGTACTACTTGAAATTATATGGTGGATTAATTGAAGAGAAAAGAATCNTTAAGTATTGTCTTCAACTCATAAACGTTAGTTTCTTGTACTACTTGAAATTATATGGTGGATTAATTGAAGAGAAAAGAATCGAATAGCCGTTCCACCCGTATATAATCCACACAGTCATAAACATATTATGCACTTGTTTCCTCCGGTAGAGAATGTAGAAATTAAACACCCTTTCTCCCAGAACTCCTTTTCACTTGTACACCAAAAGCACTTTCCCCATTAGAGAAAAAATGGAGATGTCAGATGTGGAAAAGACTCCCGAGCGGCTTGCCAGGCGTAAAGGAGGCCTTCGGACCATGCCTTTTGTTATAGGTAAATTTTGTATATTCGAGTATTGCACATAAGCATGTCCTATATATATATAGGAATCGATCTTCTTTCCACGGTGGGCAAGATAACAATTGCTCACTGTAGAAGTGGCGTCACCACATCAACGGTCAAGTCATACTTTTTTTTTCTTTTTTCTTTTTTCTTTCTTTCTTTCTTTTTTTTTTTTTTTATTACTTTTCAAAAGAAAAAGATTTGACTGGTTAAAGTGGCGTTATAACTCTTGCTCACCGTGGAGATCATTTCCATTATACATATATGCTGATTTGTAAAATCTGTGGATACAGCAAATGAGGCATTTGAAAAGATAGCAAGTTTTGGACTTCTGCCAAATATGATATTGTACCTTACATTCGTGTATCATTTTGATGCTGCAACTGGAACAAGCATTTTGTTCATATGGGGAGCCGCTTCAAATTTCATGCCAATTTTGGGAGCTTTCATTTCTGATTCGTATTTGGGTCGATTTCTAGTGATTGGCATGTCGACGATTATCAGTCTTACGGTCAGAAATTCTTTCTTGTCGAGCTCTTTCTTGTTAAGATTGATTTAACCAAACAATATGGAATAAATTAGGGTTTCAATCCCCAACCTTTCAGGTAGAATGGTTTTCCTATTTCTAATGTTCAAAGTGACGTTCTTGGTTCGATCTATTTAACTCTTTGAATCTGGATGACTGTCAATATAAACGTTAAAATCACATGCGGCTTTCACATGACTCAAAGTTGGATGTTACATGGTTTGATTGTTTTGTCCTCCAACTTTAAATCACGTGTGATGATTTTAACGTCTGCATGTATGATTTCCATTATGTGACGACTAGAAGTCACATATTTAAATAGGTTGGAGACTTACAATCATACTTTTGAAAGGTTGGATATCCAAAATCGCACTAATTGAAAAGTTTAGAAACCCAACCCTTATTTTCTCTACACAATGTGGACGGTAAAAAATTAGTGATGCGTGAAGTTTTAACGAAATTTCATGCCACTTGTTAAATTTCGTTTTGTTATTACGTGACCGCTAAATTTAAACTTCGTTACCATTTTATCATTTTTATGTAACGAAGTTTATCAACTTGAAACAAAGTGAAATTCAGTGACCAAAATTAAATGTCACAAAAAGTTTATTCTCCACCAATGTTTGTAACCCTAAATAGTTACATATGATCACTTGAAATTTTCTTCAAATATTTGATTGCAGGGACTGATTCTACTGTGGCTAACAGCCATACTTAAACAGGCAAAGCCACCACCTTGTGATCCACATAAAGAAACTTGTATCAAACCAAATGCAGGCCAGATTGCACTTCTTTTCACGTCATTTGTGCTTATGTCCATTGGAGCTGGTGGCATTAGGCCGTGTTCTTTAGCATTCGGAGCTGACCAATTCGACAAACCAGAAAATCCGAACAATGAAAGGATTCTGCAGAGCTTTTTCAGCTGGTATTATGCTTCTGTTGGGCTCTCACTCATGATTTCAATCACAGTAATTGTTTATATTCAAACCGAATTTGGTTGGATCATTGGGTTCGGAGTACCGGTTGGCCTCATGTTGGTGTCTGCCATTATTTTTTTCTTGGGTACAAATCTTTACATTAAGGAGAAGCCAAACAAGAGTTTGTTTACTGGTTTTGCTCAAGTTATAGCGGCTGCTTGGATGAATAAACACATTGATTTCCCATTAAAGGATTCTGACGGATGCTATTATCGTGGCAATAATTCTAAACTCGTTGCACCAACACAAAGATTAAGGTTAGTTTATATAGTTAAATAAGTTATAAAGTAAGTATGGACCCCACTAACGTTCTTTAGTATCAGATATCTGCACAATACACATTTTTCTTAAGAACAATCTTGATTTCTGATTTGTGATTGTTCGAGTAACATCCATACATGGTCATCACTAGAATGTGAAGAAATCTGACTTTAGTACCTGCATTATAGAATCCAAATAAGCCATACAACCCTTGTTCAACAATTGGTAAGTCTTTGTGGCTATAATTTTCGCAATAGAGGGCTTGACCTTTATTTCCATAAAGCTAAAAATAGTAAGCATATTTGAGAGTTCAAACGCCACTTTCTTTTTGCGATAGTCAATCCCAACATGATACTTCAATAGTCAATCCATTTCTTTTCTTTGATCAAGTCCTCCCAGAAAGTCCAGAAAATAATATTCTAATTCAGATATGGGTGCATTTTTCATCTTCTCATTGGACTCATTTTACAAAGACTCGTAGGATAAGGAAGAATGGGGAAACAAGCATACTTGGAAAATGCAGTACAGCTGAGTTGTGTGCTGTGTTCGGGGAAGGATAAATCACTCCTAAAAACAAATCTATTACGTCCCTAATATGATATTAAAGTCACGAGCATCCAATGTTACAAGATCTTCAAACACATTTTTCCCATTTACCATTATTGAGAAACCTCCCAACATACAATTTGAGTTCATTACAGCTTCTGAGGGTGTGAATCCGAGTGTGCAAGTGAGTTCTCTAATAAAGCTCTGATATCCATTTCTTGTGTGTTCTTAGGTTCCTAAACAAAGCCTGCATTATTCAGAACATGGAGAAAGACTTAAACGCTGATGCTTCAGCTTCAGATCCATGGAGCCTATGCACAATCCAGCAAGTAGAACAGCTAAAATCACTGATCAAAGTACTCCCCATGTGGTCGACCGGCATTGTCCTTGCCGTTACCCTTAGCCAACACTCATTTCCAGTACTCCAAGCAAACACCTTGAACAGACACTTCATTGGAAACTTTAAAATCCCTGCCGGTTCCTTCAGCCTGTTTGGAATCTTTACTTTAACTCTATGGATAGCCACATATGATCGAATCCTCGTTCCTTTCATATCAAAGTACACCAAAAACCCGCGTGGAATTCCTGTCGAATACCGTATGGGAATTGGATTATTGATTTCTTGTCTTGCCACAACCATGTCAGCATTGGTCGAAAAAGAGCGCCGCGCAAGAGCCCTTGAGGAAGGCTTGGCAGAATTTCCAAAAGCAGTAGTGAACATGAGTGCGATGTGGCTAGTTCCACAGCATTGCTTGAGTGGATTGGCCGAGGCGTTTAACGCCATTGGCCAGATCGAGTACTATTATTCGGAGTTACCCAAGAACATGTCTAGTGTTGCAGTGGCACTTTTCACATTAGGATTTGCCATTGCTAACCTCATTGCAACCTTTATAGTTACAATTGTTGATCATTATTCGAAAAAGGGTGGGCAAGAAAGTTGGGTTTCGACTAATTTGAACAAGGGACATTATGATTATTATTGGTGGATTCTTACCATTCTTAGTGTTGTAAATGTGTTCTACTACATCATTTGCAGCTGTTTTTATGGGAATCTTGATGAAGAAAAGGTCTGGAACGAGGACAAGGAGGTTGAGGTTGAGGACAAAAATGGTGCCTTGATTGAAATGGCAAAATCTCCCAAGATATTAGCTATAAATTGAGTTTTGGTTTTGTTCATTTTGTTTTCACTGCTTGGCAAATGACCTCGTGTGGTAGTACTATGAATAAGATTCAACTTTTCTTTTCTTTTTTTTTTTTAGTTCAATTCAGCACAGTCCAATTCATCAAATATATGACGTCATACGTTTGTTTCCTTACTAGTTCATGTAAGAAATTTGCAAAAGTGCACTAACTAGCTCGCGCATTAGACTTTTTGCAATTAAACACCACAAAAATAGTAAAAAGAGGGTGGGAAATTCTCTCCCGAGCACTCCAACACCCGTACAACCACAAAATTTGTATAAGGAAATATAATTGACTAATGGTCTGTTTGGCAAGAATTTTTAAAAGTCAAAAGTTGTTTCTGAAATTAAGAAGTTACTTTTGAATATATTTACATGTTTTTCTAGAAGTGTTTTGTCTTGCTAGAAAAACTTTTAGATAAAACTGGTCTAAGACTGCTTCCTCATAAAACTATACTATAAAAAGTAGAAGTCCTGTCAAACAGAACCTAAAAATGTAGAGAACATGTAAATTGTGCATACCTGGAAATTTTGTAAAAGATTCTACTAAATAATTATGAGAGATTTTTATTCGAACCATATTCAAGATTTTTAGTAAATTAGCTCGAAAAAAGCAACAAATATTTAAATTTATTGAGAACGTTGAAACAAAATTAACTAAAAGTCTGGAGAGAAAAAGAATTGCAATCTAAATCTATGCATGTAAGAGTGAAATAGATAAAAATTTATTTCACTTATTGAAAAAGACCCAATTGGGGACCAAACTTTAATCAACATTTTGACATGAAAATGAAGGTTGGTACCCAATTAATATATTCTTATTAAGGAACTCATTGTAACCAAAAATTCCATAATTATAATGGCAATCTTTTACAGTGCAGCTCAGGTATTTCAATATACCTCCAATGTTGATAACAGGGCACTCTATTCTAATCTATTAAGACAGAAAATCTTTACATGATACCTCGCAAGAGTAAGCAATAATTGTGAATGCGTCGTAAATATCAAGATTTAGCCCTTTTCCAGAATTTTTACATACCTTATTCCAGTTCCTTGAGAAAGTCAATATTGTCAACAAAGACCTGCAAGATTCAAACAAAATGCAAATTTTGAATCATAAAAAAATACGCTATTATTATATCATTAATGTCTCTTCACAAAACAAAGGTTCGCGTAACTGGCCTCCAATATATACGTCTAGCAATGATTCCAACTACAAACCAATCCAGGCAAAAAATATTTCATGTTTCTAACCAGACTAAAATTTTTGCTGACATGCAAAAATATGGACTGAAAGCTCATCACAAAGAATTATCTTTATCCTGTTCAATAACTTTTAGTAGCTTCTCAGAGCAATGCACAACTCTACTACAATCAGCAAGAATAAAGAAAGAAAACAAAAGTACATAAACAGCATTGGGAACAATATGTTTTAGTTTTCTGTTGGGTCAAATTCATAATTGCCTCTCGAATGACAATAATTTCTTTATGTAGTTATCTATTTGTGACTTGCTCAGTATGGTGTATATTACTGGAAGTGCCAAGGAAGAAAATAAACTAATTATTGTTTGTCTATCTAGTACTTGTAGCGTACCAAACATGCACTTGGGTTACGTTTGGCATGCCGTATTAGACCAGACAAGAAATCATTTAATCATATATGGTGTTTGTTTTGGTGTAAAAAACAATGGGACTAAATTAATCTGGTTGACTTCTACCATTTTGACCAGATAAAATAATCCAAGTTAGATACATGGGTTAAGGGTAGATTGAAATCAACTTACAAATACTCGCTATCACAATAACTCTCTTCTATCCTTTATATAGATACAAAAAGAAGAGCAATAACCAAAAACACAAATCAAAAAATTAAACCAAAAACAAGAACACGTAAATTAACTTAATAAGTAACTAAGTAAGTTTCATATAAATAATTTTTTATTAATCAATCTTAAAAATAAGTAGGTAAGAGTTTTTAAAAAAATAAATAAATAAATAAACTCTTTTTAGTTAAAAAGTATGTAAAATAAATTATCCAAACGCGCACATACAAAAAAAATTATAAATAAATAAATAAATAAAAATTACTTTAAGTGGATTTTAAAATAAGGCCCTGTTTGGTACCCATTTTTTTCAAAATGCATTTTTCTCTCTTTTTTTCAACTACATATTCTTTATTAAAATAATATTACACGTAAATAAAAAACTTTTCCTTATTTTTCAACCACACATTTCCTATCAATTTACTATTCAAAAATGCATTTTTACATTAAAATGTCTCCCAAACATCCTTTAAATAAGTTACTTATTTTGACATTTAAGTAAGGGTGAGTTTGAAAAAATAATAGTTTACTTACGAGTAAAATATAAGTTATCCAAACATGTCTGTGGACAAAATGTAAATTTACTTATACAAATAATAATGACATTTAAATTTTAAAAAAAAAAATGGTTACTTATTTCGATACAAGTGTAAGGATTAATTTTAAAATGTTTTATGAAAAGTAAGTTATCCAAGGGAAAAGAAGTTACTTATTAAAGCAACTTTTTTAAGCTTAGATAAAAATATATTGATATATATATATTTTTTTTTTCAACATCTGTACATCTAATATGGTGTAGCACCAAATGAAATTATACATCGTGATCCAAATGAATACAATCCCCTTATTCCTATTCTCCTTAATTGTGTCCCTCCTAATCCTCTCTGCTCCTAATATAACATCATGTACTAAACGCACCCTTGATATCTTCCTTTTCCAAAACCAATGCTTTGTATCCTGCAAGTGACATATTCCTTCAAGGAAAAAAACCATCTTACCCTGCTAACTTTTATAAAAGGTTCTTACTGCATTGGGGTTTGAAAAACATAGGTTTGAAAGATTATTCAACATCGAAACTTAGATATAGAAATTGCAAGACAAGAATAAACAGATTTAAGCAAAATAACAAATAACGTTATTTCCAACTGTCTCCAATATGAAATTTATTGCTCGGAATATCTTCCCATATGGAGAATTCCTACA